GGTTTCCAAGCATGGAAACCTTCCAAGTGGGTTTACTTGAATGCACTGACCAACCCTCCTCAGAACTTCCTGCTCAAAAAAGGAAAGTCCAGCTGGCTACCATAAGCCCACAACCCCTTCCAAACTTTTATGGCACACACAAGTAGGCCATTAACTACATAGGGTTACAGCCATCTGTGTTTAACTTTCCCACTAAAATCAATGCTCTTAGACATAGTTAAATTATGGTCATTTAAGGAATATCCAAAAGATCAATTAACACAGCCAGTCACTTCCTGGCTAGCCACCTGTATGAGGAACATGATGCTGCACTGTGCTCATGGCAAATGTCTGCCTGTAGCAAATAAATGTTTCTTTCAAGTGATTAGGAAGGGTAGCATATAGGCAAGAAGCAACCCAATTATTCCTTTGGGGCCATATATGTAGTGCAAGTGACACAGATAACAGGTTTTTTTCACTGTGTACACTTACCCCATTTTGTACTTCTGTCAAACAAATCTTTCAAGGGTTCATATTTTCCTAAAACACTAGAAGAAAACTATCTGGGGAAGCGAAGTTCACATACCTGCAAGTCACAAACCTCAGGGTATTCCTATGATCCCAGTGCCTTCTGAGGCTAGCAGATGACTTGGTTTCCAGATTTCCAAGATGCTTTGATCTTGCTGAGCAGGTGTCCAAACCCAGCTTCTTTTTAGGCAACTGCTCCTTAATTCAAGAAATCTCACTGGAAATGACTTATCAGTCACAGTTTCAGACTCACTGTTGCTTAACTCTGGCTCTCTTTATCCAAGTAAGTTACTAGTATCTCTGATCTCCAGTGGCTCAGACATAGGCTGAATTCACACATAATGACAATTTATGCTACAGAACCATGGTGAAGCGGTATGTTTGGTTACTGTGAATAACTATGGAGAACCAACAGTTCTAAGTTTTCCATCTTTCGGCATTGCTTTTCATTATGTGTGAAGATTAATTACAATGTTTTTCCATGGTTTCTCCATTTGGCTTCCAAGTTCAGAGGCAGGAGCAGCTGCTTCAGCTGCCATTTTCCACTGCCTGTTTGACTAGTGATTGCAGAATTGCTAGCAGGCAGGGTGCTGATTGGCTGCCCTCACACTTTGCCCTACCTCCCAATCCGCACTCCTGCAGCCTCCATGTCTTCTGCCTGGCTGATTACTCCTACCACCTGATTGTCCAAGTACCCACCTCCTGAACAGGTCATCTACCTTATGTACTGCCTGTCCAATTGCCCAGATGCCCACTCCTCATATGCACTCACATGCATTGTTCCCATGTTTTGCATGAGGGGCAAGGCCACAGGGACAGTCCAAGAGAGTTCACACAGCACGATAGTGTGGCAACAGTGCTTAAGCTGGACATCTAGGCAAGTGGCATGTGAACTGGGCAACCTAACCAGTAGGTGGGCAGCAGTGGGTAGGCTGGGTAGGGAGTGTGCCAGAAGGGAGGACAGCAGCAGTGACCACAGGGTCATCCTCTGTTGTGGTTGTGCAGCCACTGTGCTACTCTATCAGTAGATGGGGACTCTGCAGGCAGGAGGGGAAGAAAACACTGGTCAGTTGGAAACATGCCCAGGAGACTATGTGGGCCAATCAGGGAGAAGCAGGCAATGGTGTGCCCTGGGATTGGTTCCCAGCCAGGGGGGTTGATGAAATATGTGCCACCAGTTGGAGGGAAGGTGTGGAGACTTGGAGACTTCTTGTGCGAATGTGTAAACACAGAACACAAGGTAAGAAAGGTAATTGCACAATAGGCATTTCTGTTATGTGTGAAGAAAAGTATGTGCTTTTATATGCAGACTATTTATAGTGTATGGCTCAGAAGATTTATTAGATAATTGGCTCTGTACTGTCAGCCACCATGCTGCACCCAGATCCTTCCCCTGAGCTGCCATGCTGCACCCAGCTGTCTCGAGTGGGCCTCAAAGTAGCCCCACAAGCCTGAAGTGAAACCCACCCTGTTGCATTTCCCAACTTCATTAATAATATGCTATGTCAGTATTGCCCCTCAGTAAATACGTGAAATTAGAAGGAGTAACTTGTTCTAAATGGGCAAGGAATACAGGACAGGGAGCCAATCATGGCTCTTAAGTGCCCATTCCCAAGAATTTAGGGTGATATGTTTGGTTTTCACACTTTGCAGATTTTCCTGCAGGAAATACCAGCAAGCCTGACTTCTGGATCCAGTGTCAAGAAACTAAAATGGTGAGACAAGATGGAGGACAAAGTCTTTCCCTTCCCATTCTTGGCCTTTGAAAACATTTTACTGACTCTACACTACTGATTTACTATGTTCTGTTAGTTCGTAATGCTCCTTTTGGAGTACTGAGTTTTAGTGTTAAAATGTTTCTGCTTTCCCCAGCCCTAGAGCCTTCCAATGCTGCCTGGGGGATGCTGGGACTCATAGAATCATAAAATAGTTGAGTTGGAAGGGGCCATGAAGCCATCGGGTACAACCCCCTGCTGCTGCAGGACACCAAGTTACACCATCCCACACAGATGGCTGTCTACTCTAATACAACTGGTAGGCAACAGATCAAGGAAGACTGCTTTAATATAAACCACTTTCAATAGTTGTCTTAAAAGTAAGTTGCAAATAAATGAAATAAATTATTAGACTTTGCTTGGGTTCAGATTTGACTGTGACCCTGCAGGCAACTTTTTGATTACTTTTAACTTTTGGTCATTCTGTAGGTATGATTTCTTATTCATAAAAAAGAATTCAGGACATAGTCATGAATTCAGAAAAAATATGAAATGTTTCAATCAAAGCTTAACAATTTTTAATTCACAGATGTTCCAGCAACCCCTCTATATTTATTTTAGAAATTCATTAATCCATGCCTATCAAGAATCTGAAACACTATCATCTTAAAAGAATGAGGAAGAACTAAACTTGACTATTGTGCAATAATGCTAATGAAATAAATTATTTCTGATGCCAAGGTTCAACAATCAATAATTCAGCAGAGACCAATAGATGAACAGCTCCTATCTCTCTAATTTAAATCCTCAATCTGCCTCTAATCCAGAAGGGCACACCAGCATCACCATACACCATTCTTATAAGTCACACACAGCCACCCTGCAGTGTTTACAGACATAAGAAGAGTGATGCTAGATTAGACCAAAGGCCCATCGCATCCAGCATTTTGTGCAAAGTATAGCCAACCAGCTTGTGGAAAGCCCACAAGCAATACAACCATACTCCTCTGCTTCTGTTTCCCAGCAACTGATATTTACAGACATCCTGCCTCATACTAGATGCAACAAAAAGCCATGATGACTGCGAGACACTGACCACCACTGCCTCTTATATAAATTTGTCTAATCCCCTTTTAATGCTGTCCAACTTGGTGGCCATTCACTACATCTTGTGGTAGAAGAAAATACAGTTTAACAATATGCTGCATGAAATAGTCCTGAATCTTCTAGTACTCAGCTTCATGGGATGAGCCCAGGTTCTCTGTACCTTCTCTTCTTTGTGCATAACTTTGTATGCTCTTATATTCATGCTATGCTGCCATTCCTGCTATGAATAATAAAACATCTAGGCATCAAACCCAATAGCTGACTTTGCGCAAGCCACTTTTACTCAGCTTCTTGGTTGGTGTCTTGCTGCCCTGAGCTCCTTGAAAGAAAAGTGAGATATACAATGAACAAGTAGGTGCTTTCCATTTTAACTTCTGGTGAGGCTGCGCCAGTGGCATGCTTTTCTCAGAGGCTGAACTGCACATAAGCAGAAAGCAACAGAGTATGGAAAATGCAGCTGCTTCCAAACTCTCTAGAGCAAGTATTCCCCAATGTGGACTCACAGGCAGCTCCAATGGCGCAGCAGGTGCCTGAAAAACATTTTTGCATTTTTATATTTTTGTATTTAATATGCATATATGGATTTGTAAGAAATACATTTAACTTTTTAGCAGTTATACATATGCTTCAGCAAAAGCAGACCAAATATTCAAACATGTATCCATCTGAAGGTGGTATTTCTATTCTATCATATAGCAAAAGCATGGTCCCTTCCATTATAGGTGTTTATTTTTCAAAGTTATATCAGGCTTTCAGTTGTCAAAAGGGTGCAAAGAATCCATTTCTCTTTCCATTTGTTTCATTTCCCATGAAGCAGGTAAATAATTTAAAAGCAAATGCATCTGTGAATAAAGCTGCTGCAGTACAAAATATGTTGGTGTAATAACTTCCTTCCCAAAACCCGTTGTAAAAGAGAGGTGCATTTGGGAATCTGAGAAACTGCTGTAGGCTTATTCAGCAAAAACTTTTGTTTCATGTTTTTAGGACACAACAATGACTCTTTAATAAGCAATTGTCTACTTCAGGGAACTGCTGATGGTGCAAAATTTCTTTAAACCTATGTTTTGGCGGTATCCAGTAGCTGCTTCTTTGGGGGAAAACGAATGAACGAAATATTAGTTTTCAGCTGCTCACGGGGATCCCATTAGGTGTCTCTCTTGAGTGCCTCTGGAGAAGCCCCTGGCACCATGTTCCGAAAACAGCTAAACCCCACATCCCAGTACGATTCTCGAGTGTTCCCATTTATGCTTCTCCCACCGTAATTTACGCCCCAAAGGCGTAACCAGCTCACCTTCGCAAAAGAACCGCAGATTCAGACACGGAACGGGGCGAGAAAAATTAAACCCTCTTGCCTGTAACCATCCGAAGCCTGCAGTTTTGAAGCAAAGCACGGCTGACGATTCCATCTTTGCTTCCCCAGAAATAGGGTGATCTGCTTAAGACTTACCTCCGCATCCCACCCAGGCACCCCAAGGAAAAGCAATGCCTAGGATAAACGAAGCACCGCGGCCAAGGCGAAGAGAGAGGGTCTCTCGCTGGGGAAAGGTGATCCCTCCCTCCCAATAGTTCCCCTCACGCACCCAGCCGGTTGGCAACACAGCAGCTCCCGGACCTGAGCAGGCGCGCACGAAGAAAAGCAGCCATACAAGAGGAAGGGCTCGCTTCACTCACCGTCCCTGCCTTTCGGACGACGGCGAGAAGCCAGGCGCGGAAGCCTCGCTGTTCAGGTGGCAGAAAGCCTCGCGCGGCGGTTGGTGCTTATCAGACGCTGCGTAAGTTGGGTATTTTGCAGGGGCGGGCTCTGCTGTTGTCGCCTTTCGCTGCCATTTTAGCCTCCCCAGATCTGACTCGCTTTACGAGGCTCGTGGCTCGCCCCCTCGCTCCGTCCAGGTCTCTCCAGAGGCCTCCCTTTGGGCTGCGTTTGCCTGCCTGTCTTGGCTGGCTGGCTGGCTGGCTGGCTGCTGAACGCGAAGCCGCGGCGCAGCGCAACGCAGTGCCGGAGATGCGCTTCGCCGGTCTGGAGAGAATGGAAGGAAGCGAGAGAACGAGCAGGCGGCCGCGGCTGGAGCTCAGCCAGGCGGGGGAGGCGGGCAGGCGGGGGAGGCGGGCAGCTACTACCGCCGCCCCCTCCTCTTCACCCACAGCTGGAAGGCGGGAGAGGAGGAGGGGAAAACGAGAGCAAAAGACACACCCCGCAGTCTGGACCGGTTGGAGCTGCGCAGCTTCCTTTCAGCCCGAGCTCAAGGTTACGGTGTGCTCTGGGGCTGCCCCTTACCGTCGGCGGCGGCTTAGCGCCTCCGCATGTGCAAACGGGGAAAAAACTTTTAAGCAGAAGCGACGTTCGTGGCTGGGGTGCTTTCTGTCTCTTCTCCTCGGGACCCCCAGCCTGCTGCCGTGCCCTGCTTCGCTAGCTAGCGTGACAGTCCTGACCCTACAGGTGTTAGGCTGCGCCTGGGTCGTGATCCGGAAAGAGAGGCGCAGCCTCTCTCCAGTCAATTAAGTCCTACAATAAGGAGAAAACCGTCTTTTATATGTGACCCCTTCTGCCATTGTGTGCCTTCCCAAAACCTTTACTCGCAAATGGGGCACGCAACTAAGTGCCTCCAGATCTGTTCCATTTAAACCGTCATCCTTCCTCTCTCTCTCTCTCCCTCTCTCCCTCTCTCTCCCTCTCTCTCTCTCTCTCTCGGGGGGGGGGGGGGGGGATTACACAAATTGGGCCTATGCAGCCATATACCTACCAGGTGATATTTATAGGTGTATACCTGTTTTTGCTAGGTTAAAAGGCTCAGGAATCAGGAACCCTATATTTTACTATTTCTAAAAATTATTTCAGGCTATTTCAATGTATGTCACTTGCCATTTAAACAAGAAAACTTGCAGGCATGGTGGGGCACACACAGATACTGACTTGTATGCTTCTCTTGCAAGGTTCTTTGATTCACCCTGGCATAAAGGGGAACTGGCTCTGAAGCAGGATCCTTCCCCTCACTTCTGCTTCAAAGCAGCCATCCTCCTCAACCTCACCTGCCTCTTGTCTGGGAAGGGGCAGATTTCCAAATGGGGGCAGCACCCCACTTCCTGCCTCACTGCCAAGCAGGCCTTCATCTTGGTGGAGCCTGCAAGTCTCTCCATCCATGACTAAAGCTGAAGGTCATGACACTGCATCACAGTTCTTCTCCATCAGTTGTCTGGAAGATCAGTCCATTCCTTCTCCCTTCTTTGTTCTCATTGCAGCAGGAATCCCAGTGTAAGGTGAGCAAAAGCTGTCCCATTTTATACATGGTGCTCTTTCCCTCCTTCTGTCCTCAATTCCTATGGAGGGTAAATGTATGCCAGGTATCCTGCGCCTTTCTTAGTTATGCAAAACTGGGCATTTCTACAGGTGCAATGATTCCTGCAGGAGTAGGAATTGCTGCTCCTGCTAAAATTCTAGTGATTTCTTTCTGATTCTTTGCAAAAACATTTTTCAATATGACTGTGCAAAATCTGTCTATTCTGAAGTAAATCCCATTGAACTCAATGGCACTTAGTCCCAGGGAATAAAGTATAGGAACTAGACTCAAATTATGTTTAATATTTATTTATTTATAAAAAATTTATGCCATCCATTACTTGCGTCTCTAATATCCCTCCATCCTTTATGTACTTTTTCATGCTTGTAATTCGGGGCACAAGAGGGGAATATTTTTCAGGACTGCATTGGATACAATGATTATTCATCAAGGAATAAATGGGATTTGACTGTGGAAATTACATCTTTAAAAGGTATAGCATTGTGATGTAAATTTTCACAGAGCTTTGAATATGAATTGGAGGGGCTTGAAGGGAGGACAAGTACATCCTCTCAAATTTGGGGGAAGGAGGGAAAATCTAGGGTACAGCACAAGGAGCTGCCACAGAGCTCCTCCCAGCTGACAGCTCAGCCCCAGCCAACAAGGTAAGGATTATGGGAGCTGCAGCCCAAAACTTCTGAAGGACTCCAGGCTGCCTATCTGGGGCCAACCTACAAAAGACTTGGAAGCAAATGGCAGCCCAGGCTGCTGGGAACAGCTTTCATGGTGACCTTCCACCCCCAAGTCTTACTCCCCAAATGCTGTAAGTTGTTGTTGTAATATCACATTTAGATTATTCCACCTTCTTCTTCTTCCAAGGAACCCAAAGTGGCTTGCAAGGTTCTCTGCCTCTCCAGTTTATCCACACAACAACAATCGTTTGAGGTAAGTTAGGCTGTGACTGGCCCAGTCATCCAGTGAGCTAAATGGCTGAGTGGGGGCTAAACCCAGATCTCCTGAGCCCCAGACCAGCACTCTTGCCATTGTACCACACTGGTTGCCCATTTTTCCCCCTCTGGATTGGGCAGCAATATGATAGTGACCATTTTGGCTCAGTGGTACCCTTGAAATACCCACTCTGAGCTGGGGAGAATCTCTCTGTTGGGCAGTTTGGTGGAGGTTGGGGCATAATGACTTGACAGAAGACTCCCTACATTGCTGTTCTTTTTCACCAGAAACACTCCTGTTCTAAAAGCATACTAAGGCTTTTTTTTTTTTTTTTTGCAGAAAAGCTTTAACCTGATGCTTTACTGAGCTTCTTCTGTTTTCATTGCTGGAGGAAAAGTGCATCCTTTACATGGTGTTTCTGAATTTATCTGCCTTCCTATACATTCCAGTGACCAAGCACAAAGTACCACTGTGATACAGCTGCAGTACAGTGGATTTTCAACGGTGCAAGATGCCTTTGTCACAGTTTGAAATTTAGTAACTCATCATCTTCATTCTAAAAATGTGCAAAAATGACTGGAAAAAAAGGAGAGGCACTGGACAAAAATGACCATAAATGCCTCATGTAGAGAAGCCTCATTCTTCTGCTGAAAGCTGAAATGTGGGATGGCTCTCGTAGGTAAAGCTGACCCTGTGGAAAAGTGGCACCTGATGTGTATGGAACTGACCTTCCTCCACTCTTCATTTCCAATTCCCTTATACACTCTAATGCACCCAGGATTTTAAAATGTTTAATCTCTAGATTTCCCAGATGGACTTTCATCCTGGCAGCTTACAGGGCCAGATCTGCTTGGCTTATGCAAAAGCCCTTCATCATGAAGACCTTTCAGATCAATAGCAAAATGCTTAAACATTGTGATTCCCATGCCAATAATAATAATAATAATAATAATAATATAATCTTTAAGTTTCCCCAACTATAACGTGGGTAGATCTGGTACTTTTAACAAAGTATTTTAATGTTATATTTTTCTCTTCTGTCATTTAATTTTACCTTTGTTCCTTCACCCAGGATACTAAGGTCTTTATTGTGCTTGTTTTTAAAGTATTTAATAAATAGTGGTAGAATATTAGTATACTGAGTAGTACAATACTGATTCTAATAAGATAGATGACTTAAGGTGCAATAGCACAAATTCTAATAAAATAGAATGAAAACTGCAAAGACAATCAAGCAAAATAAGGCAATGGAAACTACAGCTGAGATCAAAGTCTTGTCTTGGAATGTGTGAATCTGAGCACAGGTTGGGATGGGGGAGAAAAATTACACACATTTTAAGCAGAGGGATTACTGACTTGCAGTAGCAGCCACTTTCTTCCCTTCTCTTTAAAAATACTGGCTGTTGCTACAAGCAGTAGGGTGCCTTCCCCAAGCTGATGCCCTCCCAATGTTTTGGACCAACAACTTTCATTTGCTGCAAGGGGCATAGCCAGTGCTCAGCAATGGTGGGAACTGCAATCCAAAGCATCTGGAGGGACAGTTTAGGAAGGCTGCAGATATGGCATCATTTCAGTTACATGGCTGAAAAAAGATGTTCCTTGGTTGGTGGGAGAAGAAGGCATTATAGAGGAACATAGAAGATTGTTAGGCAGGGAGGCAATGCCGTTGCTTGTGGTGCAGCCAAATTAAGTTTTCAAAAAGGAATGTAACCTACTTCCAATGTAACCAAGTTCCCTGTCCTCCACTCCAACCTGTCTAAAACCTCTCCTTCTGCTGAGGAAAGAAAAGAAAATTCTGCCACACTTTTGCAATGTATACAAACCACAGAAGCACTAGATGGAACATTGTGACAAAAGATAAAAGCATGATTTGGTCAGAAAGTTGTAGCTTCTCCTCCCCTCCCCCTCCCCCTCCCCCTCCCACCTTTTGGGAAGAGCAGCATTGAGAAGGTGCCTGTGTGCATGATTTTTAAGAGAAGAAAAATCTCCAAAAAGGGGTGAGTGATAACAGAATGACTGTGAAGTGGGACAGAGCTAGACTTAAAGATGATAAGAGCTACACTCTTGCTAAGACCAAGATCAGATTTCTGTTTCCAGCAGCACTCTGCCAGGTAATTCTGGGCACTCAGAAGCCAGTTTAATATTCAAAAGGCATATGGCCTCTGTACACTGAATTTCCATTTAGTTATCTGAGCTAATAGCCACTGCAAGCCCTCTTCTCTGTAAATTTATTGCCCCTTTAAAAAGATAGTGCCATCATAACAACCTGATCCAGTGTATTGCATAAGTTCATTATGTGTGCTGCAATCATGTAATTCTCATCTATATGAAAAATGAACCCCCAAAGGGGGAGCTGCATGTGTGAATCCTAAGTGGCGGTATGGGAAGAACTGGATCCATTGAGAATTGAGCATATTCAGTAGCTACTGGACACTCTCTGACTGTGGGTGGCAAAAACAAAACAAAAACCAGGAAATGACAGAAGGGGAACTGAGTAGCGCATGGCTCAGAGAAGACCCCACCTCCCCACATGGCCTCAGCTGCTGCTGCTTAAACAATAGTGTGGGTTGGTCACGTGGACTAGAGTGTCATGGAAGAGATGATGGCTGGAATGCTGACCAGAAGCATTCATTCTGCAACATTTTGTTGCAGGCCCCGCTTTTTATTAATGAAGGTAGTGCTGTAAAGCACATCGTTCTGTGCAACTGCTCTTTCAGAAACCCCTTCCTTGCCTCAAGCACCTCACATAAATGCAAGTGCAAAAATGCATTTGGTGCAATTGGGCAAACAAATGCAACAATCGTTCAGAAAAATAAGGATAATCAGGATATTTAATACATTTCCATGGAGACTTGAGGACTTGCCTTTTCTTATGCTTTCTTATTTCCCCAGGGCTTTAAGCATGTGTAAAATTTAAGATTGCTTTTAACTCTTTGATTCTTCTGATATTTTTATGCTGCTTGGTATTGACCATTTGCTTTAATTCCCAAACTTACTGTTTTAAGTTTTGCAATGCATGTTTTGAAGAACAATAATGTCACTACTTTACTGTGGAAACTAAAACATTTCTCATTATAAAAAGTATGTTTCTGTGTAAGGCTGTGTATTCAACAGGTTTTGCTTTTGGTTCTTGCTAGTTTATAAGCACAATTCCAGAGATCAAGTGCAGGTGATTACATTGCTTTCTGCTGTACTGAACTGTTGAATTGTTGCTACAGGACAAGGTAGAAGCAAGGAGAGGAGGTGGGGTGGAAAAAATACAGGTAATAGCACAAGAGCAAATGGCAAGAACTATCAACTTCTTAACAGAGGCTGGTGTGTTTAGCCAACAGCTAGCTGGGCTTGATAACCAAGGTAAGCACATTTTATATTCCACAACTTTGATTTTATTATGAGCAGGAACAGTTTGAGTTAATTGGTAAAAGATAATCATGGTGAAGCCACATATTTTCATATTTGGGAGTGTCCTATGTACAGTTCAAATGATGCACAGTTAGGAAAAAGAAAGAGTCACAGTATAATGGCTAAATTCAACACTAAATTATGCAACATGTATACCCTGGCTTGCTTCCTTCAGCGAGGAACCTGTAAGCTTACATTTAAATTTCAAAACCTATCACCATCCATAACTGGAAATATTGAGGGTGAAGGAAGGGGAAAGATAATAGCATTTAGTTTTTTAAAATGCTTTTATTTTTATTTATTTTGTGAAGCAAGCCAGTGTAAAGTAGGAAATTTTTCTAGAGAGTTCAAGCAAATTCAAGAGCTTCCTAGAGAGCTGGCGGGTTTTCCCACACTAGAAACATCCAAAAAGAAACTGGACAGCCACCTGAGAGGGATGGTGTAACTTGGTGTCCTGCAACAGCAGGGGGTTGGACTCAATGGCCTTCATGGCCCCTTCCAACTCTACTACTCCATGATTCTATGAGAATGTGTGTGAGAGAGATACATGTATTCATATTATATATAGACATATATATGTCATAGACATATAGGACATGTCTCCTCTCTCTCATGCATGCACGCACACGTGTACACACACACGAATACTACCCCAGTCCCTTTCACTTCATATCAGTTCTGAGGGGCAGTGTGGGCTTGCTATAAAGAGTGCTGGACTAGAACTCTGGAGATCTGGGTTCTAGTCCCCACTGAGCTATGAAACTGACTGGGTGACTTTGTGTTAGTCATAGACTCTCAGCCTAACCTGCTTCACAGGGTTCTTGTTTGAGGATAAAAATGTTGAGGAGGAGAACCTTGTATTGTGTTCCTTGTAAGAGGAAGAAAGGTGTGCTATAAATGTAATGTAGTAATCACCACCACCACCTAGTAATGTGTTCCACCAACTGATAGCCTTAGAAGTTATTGAGATCCTAAGTATTTCATCATAACTTGAAGGTAGAATGGGCTATTGAACTCTTAAGAAGTACCTATTAAATGGATATAAATGGAAATCAATTAACTTTGGTAGAAAACAAATGCATCTAGAAGAATAACTGAATGCACATTTTTCAGTTGTGGCACAAGCTTGGTTTGTGGTTAGAAAAGTGATGTGCAGAGTAGTAAACGGAACCCTGTCGGCCAGAGTACTCCCAAGCCACCTGCTAGCACTGACTCTTCCACCTGGGAAATAACAGTTCCTTCTGTTAGCCTAGTGCAGGGGTCCTCAAACTTTTTGAATAGAGGCCCAGTTGAAAGGCTGCAGTGACCGTCGTGGGCAGGTGAGGTGGGGATGCCAGGGGGTGCGGGCCGGTGAGGTGCCGTTGGGCACATGTGAGGCGGCATCGGGTGCACACAGGGGTGGCTTGCTCATTCAGAGATCTCCCAGCGAGTCCAAAACCATCTCTGAGCAAGCAAGCTACCACCTCTCCACCTGTGCTGCAAGGCAGCAGTGAGCACGTGCGTACGGGAGGCAGGCAGCAGTGGCGGCTCGTTCACTCAGAGACCATCTCAGAGAGAGCAAGCTACCACCTCCCTGCCCATGCAGCAAGTGTGCGCACGGGCGGTGAACGGCAGCGCGGGCCGTAGTTTGAGGACCCATGGCTTAGTGTGTAAAATTCTGTTGTTCCCTTTCTTCCTCTGCAAGCTCTTCAAGATCCTGGGGATTGGTTCCTCCTTCCTGCAGGGCAGAGTGTGCCATGCTAAGCCAGAACCAAACAGGGAGTGAGTGAGGAGGGGTGAGACAGATGGCAGAGCCAATGTTCATTTTGCTGATATGCACAGCTCACTTTCCAATTGTAAGGACAGGAAGAATCTGTATGGAGTTATCTGGGTTTGGGAGGTTGGACTCTGTGTGTTTTCTTTGAAATCCACTTATGTTTATTTTGAATGATTAAGTTGGCTGTAAACCATTGCTGTAATTAGATGGGGAGCAGGGAGGTCAATGGAATAGGCCCTACCTCAAGAGATGGCTTCTGAGCTGCTGTTTCAGAAGGCTTCCTAAACTTTGAGCATAATCCTACTAAGCCACTCCTCACTTCGACCCCATCACAGTCTCAGTCAGAGTTCCTACTCATGCATACATGTCTTAAACTCACACACTTGCATCCCAGTTGCCATAAAGCTCAGATGGACAAATCCTGCAAGGGAGGGTTGCAAGACTGATACCTCAAACAGTTATTTGTTTTCCTCAGGAGTGGTGCCATTTTACCTGAGATGGTTCTATGCCATAGAGCACTGTTCTTCATTGCAAGGCCCAAAGGCCACTGGTGACTCTCAACTACCTTAAGGGTGGCCCTTTATCTGCCATGTTCTTTCTTTCTGTCTCTCTTTGCAGCTGCTGCTCAAACTCAGCTGGGGCCATTATCATACTCATCATTTGCAATTTTAGATTTATACTCACCTATCTTCCTCTTGTAAGGAATGCAAGGTGCCTTGCAAGTTTGTTTTGCTCCTCCTCTTCACAACAACATCACTGTAAGGTAGGTTAGGGTGAGAGTACATAACTGGCCCAAAGTCACCAGGGCGAACTGCCTGGCCTAGTGGGGAATAGAACCCAGATCTCCCAAGCCCCAGCTCAGCACTCTACCATTGAGCCACATTGGCAATCTACTCTCCCTACTCCAGATTGGTCAGCAAAATGTTAGTGACCATTCTGGCTCTTGAAACATCCACCTTGAACTGGGGAGAATCT